TCCTCACGCCTATGGCTCACCAAGAATTCGATTCCTCTGATGTCAGCGGATTGGTTCCAGACTTGTCTGGGAGGATAACAGCATTTGCTCGATACATCGGCAGGCCACCGCGAGTCATTGTAAAAGCCAGATCTCCATTCAATCACCTCCAAAGATGCCTAATGAAGACGAATGCATGGCGCATCCTTCAGGATTGATCAACGTTGAGAGCTTTATCCTGCATTTTATGGCATATCGTCACAAACTCCGCCTGTGAATGTGCTTTGAAGAAATGGAAAACGATGAGGTTACCTGATTTAAACTTGAACTTGAACTTGAACGGCCCGTCCTCACTGGTTGAGCGTGCCTCAGCATAGTCACCATTTTTCGGAGATTTGCTGGTTAAGCCATTGTGGTCCCGCGGAATCCCGAGGACAACCTGGCCAAAGTCTGCCCCAGGTCGACACTATGACAGGCAGCCGCAGCCTTTGTGGATCAGTGGAAGGTTTGCCACCATGCGACTTTGATACCAGGACGGTGGCGGATCCTGGCATTGGTTTACCATTAGCTAGGCTTCCTGATGGAAACGCCGGAGTCGTTCTCAGCTTGGGAGACCCTACCGGGTCCCTTCGCTGTACATCGCTGTCCGACACTCAGGAGCACCTCCCAGCCACGATGAGACGGTAAACCGTTGGGAGGGCTACCTGATTATCTTCCGCTATTCTGAGTTCAATATCGTTCATTGCCATCAGACCGTCAATAAGCAACAACTAACCCTCAAGACGATCTACGATCATTATTCATTGCTGTATCCTTTTAGTAACGAAGACTTTATTGAGGTAGTCTCAACGCCACAATGGGTTTTGCTATGTTTATTGAATATATCGGCATTTTTTTCTGCACTGCACTTTTTCGCTTGTTGATAACGTTCACTCTGAGTGCTGCCATTCTCGTTTCGCAGAGACCATTGTCCACTTCAAATCACTATTCCGGTTGCAGCCTATTGTTTAATCGTTAAAAATTGGTCTGCACTAACGGTAAAGGTTTCTATTTCCGGTGTCTCCTGTATTTCTGGTGTAATATCTATACATTAAGGAAAAGGGGGCGGATAGCAATCAAACCTCTAATCCCTCCGAGGTCGAGAAATTGGTACCGGTGACTTGTCTGGGAAAAAATCGCTTTCTGCAATCCAATTGGGAACGCTCCGGCCGACTATCTGAAGACTCCAAAAAGAATTGCTCGACCAGCATTCTACGCCAATCAAGATGAAATGAAAATCCTCAAGCAGCAACCGAAGCCACACGTAAAAAGTTGGAATATCTTCGTTAGCAATGGATGCGAGGAAACGAATCGAATGTGAGAAGTGCTGGGATCCGCACAGTAGATGTGAAGACGGGTCATATAAAATGAGATAAAATAAGAACGCTAAGGAACACATAAAAATTAGGGGAGAGTATCACGCTTTGTGAATAAATTATAAGTAAATAAAAATAGGATGTTACTCTTCAATAACCGTATATTTCTGTAAAAGATATTTTGTTCGTTTAAAATATGGATGTGAAATCACATAGAGTGGTTTACGAAAGCAATCCGTTCTTAACGACCATCATTAAAGTCGGCTAGCATCCATCCAGCCCGAGTAGTGCTTGGTGTTATGAGGACGATGTCATCTACAAATCGAAGATGGTGTAATTGCAGACGATCCATTTTCACTCCAATATTATCCCATTCCAATGTTCGAATGATATTCAGGAGGGTGGCGGTAAATAGCTCTGACAAGATCTTATTGCTTTGACGAACTGCTTTCCTTATCTCAACGTTGATCGCTATAGAAAAGTAGTGTTCCGATTGCGAGTTTTTAACTAACTCACGAAGAACTTCTGTGTCCACTAAGTATGAAGGTACTGGTTTTCCAGAGCATCCACAGCTGATTTTGTCTCAACTGATTCGAAAGCTTTCCCTAAATCGTTAAAAGTGAGTCAAAGCGGTCTCTTGTACTCTCGCAACACTTAAATATGTCTCGTTATCATATGGATTGGCCCATCGTACTGAGTCGTTCCTGAAACCCTGCAGCCTCACGTGGCTGTCCTTCACCCAGTGTTTTGCCAATCGTATTTAGGATGACCCGAGTGAAGAGTTTATAGACAACAGAGAGCAGGAAGATGGGGCGATAATTACCGATGTCTTTGAGGCCGCCGTTTTTCAACAATAACACAGACTTACTGAACTTTCATTAATATCAATCGTCGATTCTGACAGGTAGCAATGAAAAAGCCAAATCAGTATGTTTATCAGACCTACCGGGAAGTTCTTTAGGTATTCAGATCTTATGCTCTCCGGACCAGATGTTGTTCGATTCTTCACCGATGAAATAGCATGTCAGGTCTAATCCGTGATTACCAGTGTGATGTTCTTTTTACGTTTTTCTGTGTCAAATCTTAACGTTTAAATCTCCGCTGATGTATGGTCCTCTCTGTAAAACTTCTCCAAGGGCTATGTTTTCGTCATAGCTTAATATTACTGCGTAGACGACAGAGAACTCATGGAAGCTGGCATTGATTCACACCTGTTCAACCGCAATGGTCTTACTTGGGTTTTAGCTGTCAGAATTCATCGATATTCGTGGCGAAACTCGTTTTGACGGGAACGCCGACCCTATCGACTCGTCAGATGTCGTAAGTTCCGAGAAACAGTTCTACGGTGTCATAGACGGCATTCAATGTGTGGCGTCTTCTCGTCTCAATCAGTCCAACAACGTTGTACCTTATTCTTTTTGGCTGCTTGATCAAGTCCTCTATGGGGAACTTAGGTGCAAGCGAACGTGCATGGTGGGTGCATATTTCAGAATTTACCTTACTCCTTTGCGATTTAGGCAGCCAAGAATAGCCTTGAAATTTTAGAAACCTTTCCGTACTCGTCCTACCCAATGCTGCCATTTAGGGAGCTCTGTCGGGGTCAGGGGAATTAGGCGCGTTTACCTACTGTGTTTAGCGCCTAAGACACACTTGTCGTTTGTTGAGCTCTGAACGTGGGAGCTAGGTTTACTCACAGGGAGCTTGGGGTGCGACTCTAAACGCCTCCTATGCTCCCTGTTACTCCCTGTTACTCCGCCCTGTTACTTGATTGCAGGCTTTTGGCGGATAAATGAGGGCACAACAACGCATGCATACATGAATTTGTTCTGGTAAACACAGAAAAAGCGTGCCAAATCGAAGCAGGAGAAAGATAGGTCTATTCGTTGAAGTCGTCAGCCTTTCGGAAAAGCATATAGTCGCTTTTGATCCGTGATCAAGCCACTTCCTGCCACATTCGTTCGTACCACGTTGCCTCTCAGCTAGTGGGCAGGAGGTTCTTCGGTGGGGAAGGTCCGTGGAAAACATGTAGCAGGAAAAATGCGCAATTGCCTTTGCGTTATCTATAACTTCAATATATGGTCCGACATGGACAGTAAATGCGCGTTGAATGAAAAATTCCTGTCACTTCGGTGCACTGATATAACGTCTCTGGGTTTGGAGTATGACAAAAGCGAGGAAAAACTTAGATGTAACTAATCTGAATGTGATAAAAGAAATTGTGATCGACACCGTACACATCTAAAAGTATATGGAAGTTTAACAAAATGTCAAAAATTTTAGGGAAGTCAAAGTAGACGAAGGCGCCTGTTTAGCGCGGAGTCAAAATACGATTTGGATTGCATTCCTAATCAATTTGAGGAGGGCGAAGTAGAGGTTTAACTGCGGTGTTGTTTCACCTGACCACATCGCCTTCTGATATTTTAATATAATCGTTGCAGGATCGACATTACGATTATCCGTCGAGGGTTGTTGGTGGAGTTTCCCAATTGATAGATGTTCTAACCGTTACACCTCTTCCTGTTATTGTTATTGTTTATTTCAGAGGAGCCAGTATGCTTTTGAATCACCTGATGCACACCGAGTATGATTCTCTTCTTTTTTCTCCTTTCTCATTTAACGAACTGGGTTCTTCATCAAATCTAGGATTTTTTAAAGATTAATAGTTTTTTAAAGGTGCGAAGTTTCTATGCTATTGATTATCAGAGACCTAATTCGGAAGTGAGGAATATTCCAAAGGTTAGGCAATTCGGATTCTTTCATAACAGCATAAAATCAGCTAAACGTTTATAACCTGATGAAGATGGCGACCGGATACGTGTCCGTTTCCATACCGACGCTGAATGTTTTTTAAGTGGCTCAATCGTCTGTTATGAAAAAAGGACAAAGTTCTCGGATTTGATCAATCCCTGAGCGACGCGCAATGCATTCAACATCATTGAGCATCGCTTGGAGGTGATTGAATGCATATCTGGCCTTTACAATGACTCGCGAAGGCCTACCGATGTATCCCAGTGCTGTGTATGATACTAGTTTACCGACCTCCGAGGGATGGAAGGCTTAGTGGGCCATGGGTGCGGGGATCGATTCCACGTGTGTCGCAGTGGCGCCTCTAACCACTGCGCCACAAGTGCCCTACTTTCGATTATTGATTAACAAATAAAAGCGAATAAGAACGAAATTTAAATGTGATTTTTCCTAATTTCATACTACTCGACTTACAGTATTTCTTGTGGTTCGCATTCTTTTCTAAGTTTTTGTCCAAAGCTTTTAGAATAACGTTCTTTACTGCAATGTTGCGTTTGTGATTTTTAAAGATAGTAAAGCGTCTATTCAACGAAAAGAACCTCTATTACATATAACCAATTGAAATGAAAGCTATTTCAATTGATGCGAGCGGCGAGGCAACTTCCATGCAGGTGTATTACCAGCAGCCAGTTATTGCTACCAGTATATGCCGATTTTGAAATACTTTGACCAGATAAATCCTGCTCGTCGCAATGTTTCTATTTTCTTTCATTGGGTTTTTTACACGTTTTTAACCATACAAAGATGTGAAAAAGCGTTCCATGTTAATCGCAGTTGGATCCGCCATGTTCTGATTTCAAGTGATCTTAGGTGTGATGGAGTGTATATATGGCCTGCGCATTAACTTGCTGAACACTTTGGATGTTCGGGTCTACCTTTCCGGAAAACGTTGAAAGGCAAGACGCCGCTGGCCTGTGGCCTGGAGTTGGACCAAAGACGCATGCTATCAGCAGGACACTTCTAACCGCTGTGCTAACTCAGCATTTTGATATCATTCCAGTCAGTCCCGTGAACTTTTCGTTACTCTGGCCATAAAGAGGGCTAAGAATAGATCGGCTTTCAAGGAAGGAAACATGGAAAGGAAAAAAGTTGAAAAAAAACGTTTGTTTTGAGCCTTTAGCAAAGGAGTGAGATGTGGCTTCAGTCGGAAGACGAATAGAAACAAAATGAAATAAAACTTGGAAACATTACTTGTTTTTTATGGTAAGAACAATCGAAAAGGGACGCCATAAGAAGAGGAAAAAGTTAGTCCGAAAGTTGACGATTAAAAGCTACGGCACCATCTGCGAAATTTTTGCTTCCAAAACACAATCCTTAATGTTACAATCAAAATTTGGTAACTCAAAGATTTCATTAAACGTGGTAATAAATTCTGTGAACTGAATACGATGCTTAAAAGGTTTATTACCATTCTCCCCCGCCGCCAATGGTAGACGTTCGATCGCCATTTCTGCTGGTGAGTAATAATATTTAAAAAGGACTAAAAGAGAGATCTTCCTTCTTTTTAAACAATTTTATTCTTCAGCCGAACTCCGCCTACGACTACACCGCTTACAGTTTGCCGTATAGAACGCATCCGGTACCGTTTCCGCAACTTCTCTTTCCGCTTTTCTCATTTGAGATTTTCATGTGAGACTTAAAAGGAAGTTTGAGTTCTGAAGGTTCATGAATTTTAGACTCACTGCGATTACGACTATACGTCATACAGTCAGCCGATGATGCCGACGCCCTATTATGCACCAGCGCCACTCAACCCACCTCCTCCTGTGGGACTTCTTACAGTCACTTGCTCATAGCTTAGAAAAATATTGGCTATCTATGCAGAAAAAAATCCAGTTTTTCTGCATGAAATTATAGAACGATGTTCGATGTGTATAGGAAGAGCAAAGGCATTGGGGTGAGAATTAGTGTACGGTTGAGAATACAAAAAAGAATGCCTTTGCCAGTGCAACGAATACCAAGAGATATAGTCATAGCGACCAAGAATAATCTACGAACTGTGGTAAGGGAAAAGGAAGAAGGAGAAGTGGACAATGATTTTTTCAAAAAGATAGTAGTCCTTACACAACATCTGAAAAAAAGATTCTACTAGCACTGAGTCTTCAAAGAATTATGAGGAACTTATAGTACAATAAATGTAACAAAAGTAATAAAGCTACCTATTGAAGTTCGGTGCGAATAAGAATACGAGGAAATGTACAGTTCTTCCAAATGCCATCTTTCCTATGCTAGAGGGAAAGAATGGAAAACTAGTTCGCTGATATAAACTATGCCCTAAGTTCAATCTTAGCACGATTTTTTAATGAAAATTACCATTTTGGAACAGCTACCTGATTTATATAATAGGAAGTCTGGCAGACGAATCTTAGTAGACATTATGCCAATCCAATAGCTCTTTTACTAGTTAATTCAAAATCTAGGCAAGTCCGTATTACTACCACCAGCCGTCAATTTCTTCATACCACCACGAAGCGCTGATTCCGATATACAACTTGGGTGTTCCATACTACCTCAATAATCCTATGAATGCTCCATTTTCATCCATAGTACGTTTTCACGCTTTTTTAAAAAACACTTTTCGATCAACTCAAATGATGAACTTTTGAACGGGTTTTTTTTAAAATGAAAAGCAAGGGAATAAATGAAATGGTTGCCATTTTTTCATTCTAAGACGAATTAGGAAATCAAGAAATAAAAAATTGTCTCAAGTGTTTTTTTAAAGTCGTCTGAGTCTGGAACAGATACTGAAATGGACAAAATGAGGATCCCTGATCAATTCTGTGCGAGTCCACAGAGAGCTCCCCTGCGCCGACCAACCACTCCGAACAACGAGGTAACAGTTTTTCTCTTCGCTGCTATCGACAGGTTAAAAAAAGGATAAAACTCTTGGTACTGTTCAATCTAGGAGGCCATATATTCGACTTCATCAAACATCCTTAAAAGCCACTGAATGCGTACCTGGCCTGGGTAATAACTCGCGTAGTCCTACTTGTGTATCGAGTCAGTGTTGCTATCTTCCCAGACAGATCCGGTACTAATTTTCCGACGTGGGAGGGACGGAAAGCTTGGTTAGCCTGGGACGCGAGATCGGACTCAGGTGTATTTTAGGGCGCTTGTAAGCACTGTGCTACACGCTCTCTAGTATAGGCGGGTTAAAGAAAGGTCATCGATGGTCGGTAGACCATTTGTCGCTGTTAGAGCACGAAAAGATGCACTTAGAAGTTAATGAAATATTGGTATTCTATTGAAAAGCAAAAGTAGATGTGAGAAATGTTGATAGTGGAACCGCTAGGTGTGCACAAAACTATCAACTGATTGCGCAGCACAATGATTCGAATGCAGTTTGTAAAGGCTTTTTTCTGTACAATCACTGGTTAGTTAAAAAAGCTAATTCAATGACCGTCATGTTTACAATAATGACATGACTGTTAATTTGTAGTGAGTGGCTATCAGAAAACTTCGCAGAATGGATAAATCCAAGACAGCAGCGGTTTTCTATGTTTTACGAATGTGCAACGAAAACAATGCGCAGCGGATTCATTGATAAGCTTATGCGATTTTGTTACAAATCTTTGGGCGAAGTGCTCCACTTCGCTCGATTCGGGCCGTTGCAGCTGCTGCTGAAACCAACATGGCAAGGGACACCTGTAGTAGTCACTCTACTCGAATCGGAGCTCTGAAAAGGACTATGGTGCCGAGACGTCAACGAAAGCGGAGTTTTGCAACAACGTTGTGGGGGTTCCTAGATGTTATCTTTCAATGACGAGGTTAAATCAAAATCGATGTTAAGAACCTTCCTTCGTAGCTGTACTCACTCTCTAACTCTTGTTAGAAATGAGATACTTGGGATTAAAATAGATGAATATCAACAGAACCAAAGGGTCCCATCAGTAATTGTCGCTTTCACCCGAGCCGGGACGTTACAACGACAACTTGAAAATGAGCAAAATAAATCTCACGCTTTCATTTACTCGCTTTCTTTTGATGAGCATGATTTAGTTTGTCTACGTCTTTTAGACGATCAACAAGTACACACGCGGAGTAGATTCCGTGGCGGATCTGCACAATTTGGATGTGCACTTCGAACCAAGGATACCGCTCAGCAATGTCGGATCTCAGGAAAGCACAGGCGACCGCTTTGTACGATCATCCAGTTGTTTCTTTTAAGTATTTACGCTTATTTATAAGGCATACTCCGAAACAAGGAAGGAAAGACGAAATAGAACATAAAAGGTCCAATTAAACATCCGTCAAAATGGATTTTCCACACATTTGTTTTTCTCACGCTATATTACTTCAAGTAACGAAAGCCATAAAGCTGTCTGCCTAACCTTTTCAAGGATGGTCATTCACATGAATGAATCTATGAGATCATAGCTGTCTCCACAAAATCAGTTCTTATCAAGTCTTTATTGTATTCCCGACAAATTTTTTGAATATATCTCCGTATATCACAGTGTTAACTTCTAATTTACTATTATAGTTTTTCACGGCAGGTTATTATCTGTTATACAGTCTCGTTGATGGGTTATTGCTGATGGTACTGGTAGATAGAAAACTGGTCGGGAGAAAAATGAAACGAAGTACACGCATGGTGTGGTGGTGAACGCGTTAGCCCCCAAAAGGGTAATATCGCGTTCCTTCTCTTCTCCGCCGCAGACATCTGCACTCCGCAGTTTTGCAAATATCTCAGCACCATTTTGGTTGTGTCGTCGTATATTTTTATATCCTTATGGCAGCTTTCTATTGCATCCAAACAGTTTTCTGATTAGATACTTTAAACTTTTGTTTGTTCTTGTCACCTCTCATATTTGTATATTGCAGCGTCTCCGTGATTTCTCTGTAGATTCCATAAACGATCTCAGAGCTCTTCCTAGTATTCCTTCGATATTACTAAATAATGAGCCTAGCAAAGACGTGCACACGGCCAAGGAATCGAGCGCAAAGGTGGACGTTGAACTTGATTAAAAATTTGGTTGCTTACCAATTACTGGTCACTCCAAAAAACAACGATAAGGCGAGAAAGGAGACTTCGAAGAATAGGAAGTTTTAGAGAACTTGTTATACAGAGGCATGGATTTTGCAAAGGTATTTAACGCATAAGGGCGCGTGCGGCGCAGTGGTTGCAGGCGCCACTGCGACACATACGTGGAATCGACCCCCGTGCCCATGGCCCACCAAGCCCTCCATCGCGCGTCAGGAAACTGGTGCCAGCCTTGTCTGGGAGGATAGCATCACTGGCTCGATATATCGGTAGGCCACCGTGAGACATTATAAAGGCCAGATATGCATTCAATCACCTCTAACGATGCTTAATGAAATCAATGCGTTGCATGGGGCCTCCCTCAGCGATTTATCAACGCTGAGACCCTTATCCTTTCCTTCTCTATTCAGCCTGTGCACCAGAAAATGTGCTGGAAACTACCTTCTACTTCCTAATGAAGCGATGGTTCCAACATTGTTACGTTGTTCCTCATGATTGCTCATCAAGGTAAGACACAAAATTGCGCCTTATTTGGTACACAGGCAAAAAAGGTAAATAAAGTAAAAGGAAGGCTGAGGATAAGATTTGTATGAAGATGAATTTATAGGTGTTTAAATTGTGAGAAAGATGCTTTGGAAATAAAGTGCTTTAAATTCTTGCTAATATTGCAATTGCAGGATTTTAGTCACAACCTGCCTGAAGTCCGAACTCCCCAGGACATCTCTCCAATTCATTAAGTTAGGGTAAGATCTCATATTACGTTAGAATTTGGTTGCTTTGCCTGTTTTTTTATTTTATTTCCCAATGTCACAGTTCACATAACATATTTAGTGAGAAAACTCACTCAGGAAACGAAAATTATGCAAAAAATTTCTTTAGAAAGATGAATTTTTACAAATTCCGCATTCATAAGCTCCGAAAACTTTTAAATAGATCATATTAGGTTTTGAGAAACCCACTAACTTTTATGGAAGTCTTTCTACATTGGAAGGTATGCTTTTTGTATTACCTGTATCACCTGTAGCCCTGTTGACCGTCAAGTGACTCGAGCGGGCACCAGTAAATCTTCCATTTTTCCCTGTCGCGTGCAAGAGTAGCCCAGTGGGGTTTGCTCGTCCAGCATCATATCTTTCTTCAACGCTCTTCATGAAAAACTCTGACCATCGGGCCGGTGGTCTTCTTGCAGTACGCTTGACATCCCGAAGAATCCAGTCACTAACGGCTCTTGTCCATCGCTTGTGATTAATACCCATTACGTGTCCGGCCCACCTTATCTTCGACTGTTTGGCGTACGGAACGGCATCTTTGATTTTTGATCGTTGACGCAGATCGGAGCTTCAGATCCCTTCTCTTACTTGCGTGAAACGGGGTACTCTCATCATCGTGGTTTCGACTGCGCGTTCGATAACGCTGAGTGACCTTCCAACCTGCTTACGCAGCGACCAGGTTTCTGACGCATACGTTAAGGCAGGAGGTACCGTTGAGTAGAAAAGGTTGGGAAGGAGCTGGGTGTTCTTTGTTACTTTCACTATATCCTCGATGTTCTTGAAAGCTCTCCAAGCCGCTCGTTTTCCTTCTGCTCGGCTCTAGAGCTAGGTCATTCATCATATTGATTTCCCGACCTAAATAGATATAACTGGAGCATTCGGAGTTATTCGTTCTATTGAGCGTGAATGGTGCATGCGAAACAAATCCGTTCTTCATGAACATTGCTTTTTTGAGATTTTGTCGAAGACCACTCTTTCCACAGGCTTTATCAAAGTTGGCAAGCATACGTTCCGCTTGGCTAATGTTCAGTGTTATAAGGACGAT